CTTTCCAGGTGCATACACCCCTTATTTTTGACCCCCCTTTTCGCATCCCAAACCCTTTTCTTTAAAACCACATAATTTTTGAATTTACACATTTTATATTCCTTTTTCCCCCCTTTCCCTAACTGATCATTTTAAAATTACTGCTACCCTTCCTTTTCTCTAACCTCTCAGATACCCCCCGATTTTAAACCCATTTATTTTTTCCCCCCCCCTGAAACTTCCCCCTACCCCCTTCAGCTTTGTTTCGTAAGCCAGGGGAACCCAAATTTTTTTCATTCATAATATCAGCAACTCTCTTTTTTTTTGTCATCCGCACTACAAACCCCCGCACATTTAACCCTCCCAGTTTTATAAAGTTTTTTTTCTTTTTCTTTTTTAGTAAATGTAAAACAGGAGAAGGGTTAAATACCCATTTCTCCCCGGGAAATTTTTGTCGCCTCATACGACCCGCATTGGGTTTTCGGAGGAAAGATTCTTTTCCCAAATTCCCCATGGACAATAGAAGAAATAAAAAAGAACAGACTATTTAGAAAAAAGGAAAAAACCTAGATGAAAGTTATATATAAATGCATGTGGGGTGTCTTGAAGTGGACCAAAGTGTAAATAGGAGTAGCAAGATATCCCTGTTATCTAGCGTGTTTATTTAAAAAGAAAAAGGGAAACCCCGCAACCTACCATCATGGGAAAAAATTTAAAAGGTTTTTTTTCACAGTCATCTGGCCCGACGGGGTAATTTTCCCCGGGTGGGGTTTTCGACTAAACCCAACCCACACCTATAAAATAAAAAATTAAAAAATATATAAATATAAAAAAATATAATAATATATATAAAATATAATAAATAATATAAAATATATATATATATAAATAAAATATAAAATATATATATAAAATATATATAAAAAAAAATATATAAAAAATAAGAAAAAAGAAAATTTTCAAAGTGGGGAAATCTGAAAAAACTGGATGTTGTGCAAAGATAAGAAAGAGAGATTGTTGGGGTGTTTAAGAAAGAAACTGGATGGTCCTGGGTTTTAAAAAGGGAAAAAAAGTTTAAGGGGTGGGGGAGTTTTTTTAATGGAGAGGAATAAAGGGATTAAGGGCAGGGTTTCAAATAGAAATTAAAAGCTAAAGAAGGATAGCAATAATGTTGAAGGAAAAAGCTATTGGCAAAAAAGAAGGGGCTACAAAAACATAAATTCAAGGGTTTTGTGGAGAAAATAAAAATTTGGGTGTGAAAAGTGGGTTATATTTAACGTGTATGGGACCTGGAGAAGAAAGAATTGAGGAAGAAGGGTTCGGGAAATGGGTTTAGTGAAAGCGGGGGATTTTGAACAAAAAGGGGAGAGTACTTGTGGTTGGGGAAATTTTTTGCAAAAATGGGGAAAAATTTTTTGGAGGGGGGTAATTTGGTAAATTTTGGGGGGCCAGGGGTAAATGAAAAAGGGGAACCTTTAATTGAGCTAAGTGTAAAAGAAATTTTTGGGAAAAAGTAATACATTTTTTATGAAAAAGAGGTAAATAAATATACAAGGTATGATTAGCCGTAATGAAAATGTTTGGGTTTAAATTTTGTATTGGGAAAAAAGGTTTTATGGGAAGGGTCCAGGGTGTACATGTTTATAAGGGGCAACTGATATGTCAGATCATTTTTTTGTTTTTAGCAAAATTAAAAGTAAGAGGTAGATGGGGAAAAAGGAAGGGGGCAACAAAAAAGTAAGAGGGGGGTTAAAGTTTTATAAACTTTAAGGGGGGGAGAAGTTCGGGCAGATAAAACGGGAAAAAAAGGGAGAAAAGGGGGGCTAGTGCAAAATGAGTAGTGGGGGGGGGGGAAGAGGGTTGGAAAAAAATTTAAAAAAAAGCAGTATTAGAATGTGGGGGAGAAGTTTTTTGGTTATAGGGGGGGTGGGGAGGAGGAAAGAGGAATTTATTGGGGAATGAAAAAAAATAAAAGGGGGGGGAAAAAAGAGAAAAAGGTAGCTTTAAAGAGGTTTTTTTTTCAAAGCAGAAGTGTTTAAAAAGAAAAAAAGCAGAGTATAAAGGGAGGGGAAAAGAAAGGTAAGAGAATGGCGAGAGGGGTGCAAAAGGAGAGCCCAAAAAAGAAATGGGGGAGGCCCCTGTCAAAAAATTTTAAAAAGAAAAAAGAAAAAATATTTGGGGTGAGTTAAAAAAAGTTAAGAAAGCCTAGGGGAAATAAGGATTTTGTCCGTTAAAAAAAGAGAGGGAGTTTTTTAAAGGGGAAGGGGGGGGTTTTTGGTAGATGGGAGAATATTTTGAGGAACTTTTTTAAAAGTTTAAAGGGAAAAAGGGGGGCGGGAATTTCCCTGCACTGGCCCCGGGAGGATACCATCTTTTAGGGGTTTAAAAAGACAGAAATTTAAATGTGGGGAGGGACGTGAGGCATTACTAGAATAAAGGGGAAAGCAAACTGGAAAATGATGGGTCATACAGAAAAGTTAAAAACAGGGGGGATAAAGGGTTGGGTGGTTGGTACTTTTTGTTTAAAAAAATGTATGAAAGAGGGGAAAGGGACCTAGGGATTGGCCCGAGAGCATGTATAGTCCCTTTTTAAAAAAGGGGAAAGGGGGCAAAAGAGATTGTAAAAATTATAGAGGAATAATTTACTGAGTATAAACCCGGGGAAAATTTTACGGGAGAGTTATAATTGAAAAAATTGAGGTAAGACAAAATGTAAAAATTTCGGATGAGCAAGGAGGTTTCAGATGGGAAAGGGGGTGTTTGGGGAGATCAAGTTTTTTACATTGAAGCATATATGTGAACGTATTTAGATAAAGGGAGTGAAGGGTTTTTTTGCCTTTAAAGGATTTAAAAAAAGGCAATGGGTTTGAGTTTGGGTAGAGGGCAAAGGGGCAGAATTTTTGCAATATATGGAAAAAGGGGGTAAGTTCAAAATTTCTGTTTAAAAAGCTTTTTTGAGGATAGGAGGCTCAGGTTAGGGTGGTAGAAGAAGGGAGAATACTTTTCCCCGGTTAAAAAAATAGGTCTTAGCAGGGAAATGTAATGTCCCCCCAGGTTTTTTTAATAAATTTAAAGATGGGTTGTAAAAGAAATAAAAACTAGGGTTTCGGGAGAGGGGGGGGATTAAATTATGGGGGAAACAAAATTTAAAAAGGGAAAATTTTTCAAAAGTTTCTTTTTTTCTGATGATACGTGCTTTGGGAGATTCAAAAAAAAAATTTCAAAGGTTAGGGGGAAAGAGTTTTGAGAATGTGTGCAAAGGAAAAGTTTAAAGTGGAAAAATAGAAAAGAGTAAAAGGGGAAGGTATCAAATAAATTTTTATAAAAAAAAATGGATATCAAATTGGGGGGAGGAGTTTTGAAAAGTAATTTTTTTAGATACTTGGGGGTTGGAAAAGTGTTTGGCGGGTGGGTTTTTTTAAGGATTTAGGTTAAACATAGAATTGATGAGGGGAAAAAAAGGGAGGGGTGCTTAGGAAAATGTGGGGTCAAAAAACGTTATCTAAGGGGGCAAAAAAGGGAAAGTATGAAAATAAAAGTAGTACCAAAACTCTTATATGGATTTAAACTTGGGTTGGGAAAAACACAGCGAGGAAAACGGGGGGGGAGGGAGTGGAGATTTCCTGTCTAAGGGGAATGTGTGGGTAAATAATTTTCAGAAAATTTTTAGTGGGGGAAATTTTTAAAAAGGGGTGGAGTTTAAAAAATGCATTAGGCTAGGGCAGAAGAAGGGTTGTTGAGGTGGGTTTGGTCATTTTTAAAAAGAATGGGGTCAAAGAAATGACATGGGAAAACAATAAATTTTATAAAGGGGGAAAGGAAAAAAGGGGTAAGGGGCCCTCGAAAGGGTTGGGAAAAAGGGGGAAATGAGGTTTTGTGGGGGGAAAGGGGGGTTTGGAAATTCCCCGCAACGGGGGAAGAGCGGTTTTGAAAAGGAGGAATGGAGACAAAGAAACTTTTGGGAACCCACGATCTGTTGGGATTTTGAGCAGGGGAATATTTTGTGAAGGGATTCAGGGAAACCGGTTATTTTCATATAGTCGGACTTGAGTCCTGGAAATGGGAAGTACAATGCCTGCACTTTAAAGGAGGGGTTTGGGATATTGGCGGTTTGGAGGGATATGTTTGTGTATCTTTATATGTTTATGCTTCTAGACTGTTGTATTCTGAGCACCTCTGCAAAAGCAGTGTTTAATGTGTGAGTGTGCTGAAAGTGTTGAATGATGATGAAAGTATTTCTTTTGGGATTTTCTTTCTTTTTTTTGGGTCACCCTGCCTCGGTGGGAGACGACCAACTTGTTGAAATAATATATATATATATATATATATATAAAATATATATATATATATATATATATATATATATATATATATATATATATATATATATATATATGTATGTATGTATGTATATATATATATATATATAAATATATAATATATATATATATAATATATATATATATATATATATAAAATATATATATATATAATATTTTATATATATATATGTCGTGCCGAATATGTAAAACTGGTCAATTAGCAAGAACTCATTTAAAATTAAGTACTTTCTAAAATTTCTCTTATACGTTTAAAGATATATATTTTTCATTAATGTTAATGTAAAAAAAATTTTAATTTTGCACCAAAAGAATCTTAGAAAACTTACCTAACCTTATTAACAAGAACAAATTATTTAGCCTAACCCAACTAAATATATTTTAAATACGTTTACAATAATTTAATACTAAACAAACACAATTAAATAATTTTTTCGTTAGGTTCAAATGATTTTTGCGAAATTATTGCATACACAAATTTTCACTTGTCCTATATGGCAAGATGAACGTTGCTATTTAAGCCAAGATCGCCAGTTCTGCCTATTCGGCACGACATATAATTATATATATATATATATATATATATATATATATATATATTTATATATATATATATATATATATATATAAATATATAATTATATATATATAAAATATATATATATATTTGTGTGTACTCACCTCTTCGTGTAGGTAGGGCCACATACCCAGGATAGAGGACATACCTATTGCCATAACAAACATGATGCAGTACACTACCAGGTGTGAGCGGTGACGATCCCGTCTCTGACTCGCTGTCTCGACAAACCTGCCCACCGTTGCTTGATATGACGGGGGACCATCCCTGAAATATACCAGAGATCAGGGTGATAGAGAGTGCCCTTGGGCCTATCTATACCCAGGATTCTGCCCCACAATAGTCAACTAACACCAAGGTATCTATTTACTGCTACGAAACAAACATGCTGCCAAACAGAGCAGACAAATCGGGACAAAAGACCATTTAAACCACCTGCTCAGTTTCCAACAGGCCCCGACACACTTCAAAAAACACCTAAACAGGATAATAATACATCAGATACCGCTTCTGCGGTGTCCAGAGAGACAGTAGACAACCTCAAACAGTCAGTAGACAGCCTCAGACAGTCAGTGGACAGAAGGAACTTAGACACGCGTGAAATTCCAATCACCAAAAACAACGGACATATCCCCACTCCATTAAGGTGGCGGCAAGGCTTTAGCTAAGAACTATAGACCAATAGCTCTAACGTCCCACATCGTAAAAATCTTTGAAAGAGTGCTAAGAAGCACGATTGCAAACCACTTGGATTCCCAAAAACTGCACAATCCAGGGCAACATGGGTTCAGGGCAGGTCGCTCCTGCCTCTCGCAACTACTGAATCACTATGATATGGGCTTGGATGCACTGGAAGAAAAACAGACTGCAGATGTAATATACAGACTTTCCAAAAGCCTTTGACAAGTGCGATCATGGCGTATTAGCGCACAAAATACGTGCTAAAGGAATAACTGGTAAAGTGGGGAGATGGATCTTCAATTTTCTAACAAATCGAACACAAAGAGTAGTGGTCAACAGAGTTAAATCGGAGGCTGCCATAGTGAAGAGCTCTGTTCCACAAGGCACAGTACTCGCCCCCATTCTGTTCCTCATCCTCATATCAGACATAGACAGAGATGTATTCCACAGCACCGTATCATTCCTTGCAGACAATACTAGGATCTGCATGAGACTGTCATCCACTGAGGACACTGTTAACCTCCAAGAAGATATAAACCAAGTTTTCCAGTGGGCAACAGAGAACAATATGATGTTCACTGAAGACAAATTCCAACTACTCCGTTATGGAAAACTGGAGGAGATAATAACTAGAACTGAGAATACTACAAACTCCAATCACACAATAGAGCGTAAAAATAATGTGAGGGACCTGGGAGTGGTAATGTCTGAGAATCTCACTTTCAAGGATCACAACAGTGCCACAATCACGACTGCACAGAAAATGATAGGATGGATAATGAGAACGTTCAAAACAAGAGATGCCAAGCCAGTGATGATCCTTTTCAAATCACTTGTTCTCTCTAGGATGGAATACTGCTGCACATTAACATCTCCGTTCAAAGCAGGTGAAATTGCAGATCTATAGAGTGTACAGAGAACCTTTACTGCACGTATAAGTTCCATCAAACACCTCAACTACTGGGAACACTTGGAAGCACTTGACTTGTACTCGCTGGAACGTAGGCGAGGGAGATATATCATAATCTACACTTGGAAAATCCTAGAAGGAATGGTACCGAATCTCCACACAGAAATCACTCCCTACGAAAGTAAAAGACTGGGCAGTAAGTGTAAAATACCCCTATTGAAAAGTAGGGGAGCCATTGGTACACTTAGAGAAAACGCAATAAGTGTCCGGGGCCCAAGACTCTTCAACAGCCTCCCACCAGTCATAAGGGGACTTACCAATAAGCGCCTGGCTGCCTTCAAAGGACTGCTGTACAGATACTTAAAGTCGGTGCCAGATCAGCCGGCATGTGGTTCGTACGTTGGACTACGTGCGCCCAGCAGTAACAGCCTAGTTGGTCACGTCCTGATTCACTGTGAGGCCTGGTCGTGTACCGGGCTGCGGGGGCGTTGATTCCCGGAATTCCCTCCAGGTAGCCTCAAACAGTCAGTAGATAGCCTCAGTCAGTAGAAAGCCTCAGTCAGTAGACAGCCTCAAACAGTCAGTAGACACCCTTAGACAGTCAGCAGACAGTCTCAAACAGACAGTAGACAGCCCCAAACAGTCAGTAGACAGCCTCAAACAGTCAGTAAACACCCTTAGACAGTCAGTAGGCAGCCTCAAACAGACAGTAGACAGCCTCAAATAGTCAGTAAACACCCTTAGACAGTCAGTAGACAGCCTCAAACAGACAGTAGACAGCCTCAAACAGTCAGTAGACAGTCTCAAACAGTCAGTAGACAGCCTCAAACAGACAGACAGCCTCAAACAGTCAGTAGATAGAATCAAACAGTCAGTAGACACCCTCATACAGTCAGTAGATAGCCTCAAACAGTCAGTAGACAGCCTCAAACAGACAGTAGACAGCCTCAAACAGTCAGTAGATAGAATCAAACAGTCAGTAGACACCCTCATACAGTCAGTAGACAGCCTCAAACAGACAGTAGACAGCCTGAAACAGTCAGTAAAGAGCCTCAAACAGATTATGAACGGACGATTCAACACCAGTCAGAGGCATTCAGGAACGAGTACCTAGTTGACGCAGGACATATCAATGACGTATTTCAGTACCTAGCACCTAGAGAATCCAGTACCTGCTTCCAACATGATCCAGTACCTGCTTCCTAGAGGTTCCAGTACCTGGTTCCTAGAGGATCCAGTACCTGGTTCCTAGAGGACCCAGTACCCGGTTCCTTGATGATCCAGTACCTGATTCCTAGAGGATCCAGTACCTGGTTCCTAGAGAATCCTGTACCTTCTTCCTAGAGGATCCTGTACCTGTTTTCTAGAGGGTAAAGTACCTTCTTCCTAGAGGATTCAGTACCTGCTTCCTAGAGGATCTAGTGAAGGGCTTCCCAGAGGACCCAGACCTGCTTCCAAAAGTAAGAGTCCTCTTCCTAAAATCCTACCCTACTTCCAAATTTATCTAGTACCTGCTTCCTAAAAATCCTAACCTTTTTTCCCCTAGACAATCTGGCATTTACCTACAACAGAATTAGTTTCTCCAAGGACATAATGCAGTACACTTTTCCGCGATGGGGGGATGGTTAGGTCCTAATGACCTTCTTTCAATCCTTTAAAAGGTACATCTCCAAGTGTGGTCCAAAAGTAGGGTTCCGGTTTCCGAAGATCCCACTCACCTGTAGGTGTTGCAAAGGACCCTTTCCCAGGTGTTGCTAGGGACCTTGGCCTGGGGGTTGCTAGGTACTGAGTTCTGGGTTTTAGGGACCCCGATCCCAGGTGTTTATAGGTACCTGAGCCCAGGGGTTTTCTAGGGATGGCCTAGGGGTTGTTACGTACCTGATCCCAGGGGTTGCAGGGACCTTTCCCAGGTGTTGGGAGGGGACCTGGTCCCCCGGTGTTGCAGGTACCATGTCCCAAAGGTGTTGGGAGGTCCCCAGTTTTAGGTGTTGCCAAGGGACCCGTGTCCAGGTTTACTAGGTACCCGATCCTAGGGTTTTTCTAGGTACCAAAACCTTTGGTGTTGAGGTACCTGAGCCTAGTTTGCTAGGTACCAGTCCCTTTGGGTTGCTAGGTACCTGACCCCAGGGATTTCTAAGCACCTATCCTAGGTGTTGCTAGGTGCCGAGTCCTAGGTGTTGCTAGGTACTTAGCCCGGGTGCTGCAGGGGGCCGAGTCCTAGGGGTTTTCCAGAAACCTGATCCAGGGGTTGCTAGGTACCTTTAACCAGGGTTTTCCAGGGACCTGAGTCCAGTTTGCTAGGGACCTGAATCCTAGGTGTTTAAAGGGCCTGAGTCCAGGTGTTGTAGGTCCGAGCCCCCAGGGGGTTGCTAGGTACCTGGCCAGGTTTGAAGGATTGAACCTAGGTGTTCTAGGGACCAGTCCAAGGTTGCCCTACCTGAGTCCTAGGTGTGCTAGGACCGAGTCCCAGGTGTTGCCAGGGACCTGGTCCTAGGGGTTGCCAGGTACAGATCTAGGTGTTGCCAGGTACCTGAGTTAGGTAGTGTTTGGGGTACATGGTCTCTCACGTGTTCCTCTTATGTTCAATGTTCTCTCAGGTTCAGCAGAACATTTGTAGATGTTTTTGTTCTTAACAAACGCACCTGCAAGAGTTAAGTTAGAAATTTTAATAATATATAGATATATATATATATATATATATATATATATATAATATATATATATATATATTATTTATATATATATATATATGTTATATATATATATATATATATATATGTATTATATATATATATATATATTTTTATATATATATAATATTATATTATATACATATATATATATATATATATATTATATATATATATATATATATATATATATATATATATATAATATTATATATACTATATTTGATATATATATGTGTGTGTGTGTGTGTGTGTGTGGTGTGTATGTATGTATGTATATTATATATATATATTATATATATATTATATATAGTAGTCGATTTTTCACAGAGCGGTGTATCCGGTTTAGGGGCCTTCCACTGAGCGGTGTATCCGGTTTAGGCCTTTCCACTGAGCGGTGTATCGGTTTAGGGCCTTCACTGGGCGGTGTATCCGTCTAGGACCAGCAGTGGAGGGTCACCTTTTCACACCTAGTGTTTACTTCCGGTTTTGGACATGACCTCGCCCTCGAGAACTACCTCACCTTGACCCCCCAACCATTACCCGCCACGACCCCCCCCCTTCGCGACCCGCCGTCGCGCAGCGCGCCCGCCCACGCGCCCGCCGCCCCTTCGCGACCCCCGCCGCGCGCCCACCCGAGCGCCCCGCCCCGCCCGCCGGCGCCCGCCCGCGCCCCTTCGCGACCCCCGCCCGCGTCATTCGGCAGAGTCGTCCGGATCGCCCCCGCGCCTCGAATTTTTTGCGATTTTTTTTTGAATTTCATTTTCTTGTGCTCTCCTCTCTCTCGGATCAAATTTTGAGGTTCCCCTCCCACTTTCCACCCCATCCCAAAATTTATCGAAATCAAAGTCTCCACTTCCTCGGATCTCAAGTTTTTTGGATTCCCCCCCTATGGGGTTTTCGAAATTCTCCATCTCCTTGGATCAAGTTTTTTTGGGTACCCCTCCTTTCCACCCCACCACACCAATCCAAAATTTACTCAATTT